CCCGTGTGTTGCTGGCTGGATTGCTGAGGGCTCCCAGGTGCCTCTGGATGGGCTCCTCTGGAGCTCCTGTGGGGCTGCGGCGCTGCTGCCGGGCAGGTTGGCCGGGCTGGGGAGAGCCTGAGGGGACGGGGCCACAAAGGGATGAGGGGCTGCGGAAGCCCTGACAGGACAAGGCAGTGGGAAGGCACTGGGGGGACGTGTGAGGGAGTGGGTAACGTTGGCACGGGGAGGAAAGTGGGTTGGAGCCAAAGAGAGCACTCACCCCGATGTTCCTGTGGCAAACAGAGCACGTTTATTCTCAAGCCCTTCCTTCTAAAGGGCCTTTGAAAAACCCAGTCTGGATGATTTCACTGGTCTGATCTCTGTGCCCCTTCAGATTCTGGCCTGGGGAATGCCTGCAGCCTTGGGAGAGCTGTGATGGGCCAGGCCCCTGTCAGTCAAACCAGGGCTGGTACATTCACCCCGTACAAGCCAGCCTGCACGGTGACACGGCAACAGAGTGCGAGGCACAGCTGCGGGTGCTCCCCGTGAACCTCAGCTCTGGGACCACTGTCTGCCCCAAGCTTCAGGGGCTGCAGGGGGAGCCCGGCTGGGCTCTGCCCTGGGGCCATCCTGCAGGGACAGCTGCACACAGCCTGCAGCTTTGGGAATGGCATTAGTGCCTAGGCTGGGGGGGAAGCTGCAAGTCCTTGACTGCTGTCTTGTGTTGCTGAGAAGAGGAAGGACATCTTGGAACTGGGGATGCTGTATTTGAAGTCAAGTGGGCAACTTTGTGGTGGGGGAGCTGCGTGGGCCAAAAGGACGCAGGGGTGCCGGTCAAGAGCAGCTGAAGGTGGGCCAGTGTGTGGCCAGGTGGCCAAGAAGGCCAAGGATGCCCTGGCCTGTGTCAGCAGCAGTGGGGCAGCAGGAGCAGGGCAGTGACCGTCCCCCTGGGCTGGGCAGCGCTGCAGCCATGGCTGGGAGTGCTGTGTCCACTTGTGGGCCCCTCTGAAGCAGAAAGTCCTTGAGGGGCTGGAGCGTGTGCAGAGAAGGACACGGGAGCTGGGGAAGGCTGTGGAGCACAAGGCCAAGGAGGAGGTGCTGAGGGAGCTTTAGCCTGGACAACGGGAGGCTTGTGAGGGACCTTCAGATCCATGGATCCATACATGGCAGTGCTCACCACCAGGGCTGTTTCCCTGCCAGACATGCCCTCACTGCATCCAAGTGCTTTAGCCACCTGAGGAGGGGACACTTTTGATTTGTGGTTTGTTACTTTGCGGTTTGTTGCTTTGCTAGGAGGAGAAGCCCCACTCATTTTCTTTCTTTCCAGCAAGCAAAGCTGCTTCTGCACAAACTTTCCTGCCCTTTTTGTCCCGCACAGGGTGGGATTCTGATCCAGTTTGAGTTTTCCTTGTCTGCCGCAGCAATAACAAAGTCCGTGCTGGCTATCTCTGACTTTTCCATTTCAGAGTTTTCAAGAGCTAAAAGCTGCATTGTGCAGAGGCACCGCTGCTTGCTGATAGCAGCCAGGGAGGACTATCAAATTCATAGAGTTCATCAAATAGAGTTCTCTTGAGTTAACCCACTTTAATCTGGTCAGAGTCACTTAGAATCCCATCGCTAACAGAGTTGCTGATTTCTCCTTGGAAGTGGTATTTGTGGATCCGAGGAGGAATGAGGTTATAAATGAGAGGTAACGGCCTGTCCCTCATGCTTCTCTCTTGCCGCAGATGGCAGAAGGAACAGCGGTCTCTGCCCCGGCTCCCTCTGCTCCTGGAGAAGAAGCCAAAGAGGGGCAAAATGAGCAAGACGATTTTTAAAACTTTAAGAAGGGATAATTAGAGACAAATCAATAACAGCGCTGGGTGCTTGGCAATGGCCAGAGGCACACTGGTTAGCCATAGCAACTCTTCTTATCTACTTTTTCCATTGTATTGTCCAAAAACATATTCATAAAGATTATACACATTCAAACATTTCTTTGAACTCATTTACTTCTTCCAGGAGCTCTTTTGGTTTGACCCCCAACCCGCCTTTCTAGAGTCCGTGCAGGAATCATGGATTGTTGTTTTGAGGGTTGTGTGTCACTTCCTCACAACAGCCCCCTGATCCCCGATTCAGCTGGGAGTTTGCGGGCCCCAAGTTGGGCAACTCCCTGGCGGCTCCCCTGGCAGGGGGACCCTCCTGGAGCAGTTCTGTGTCAGGAACCAGAGCTGCATTGGACTTTTGTGGTCTTCAGCTTCTGTTTATTCTTATCAAAACTTCAGCACACTGTCTGCACCAGACTCTGCGTGCAGGAAAACAGCACAAAAATGGCCAACAATCTCTTGTTACAAGGCCTTGTAAGTCTAATGAAAAACTAAGCTACCCAATAAAGAAGTGACACCTAAATTAGTTTTCTTTCTAACCCAGTAACTGACCCCTAAAGACCCACAATGCAGATTATTCTACCCAATTCCAGGATACAACCCAAACCCAAGAAGAAAGAGAAGAAGAAGAAGAAAGAAGAAGGGAACTCAAGACAACACCCTATATCCTCCATCTTGAACCCATCTATAACATACTAAAAATTCTAAAACCTAAATTTTTCACCCATATGACATACTCCACTACTCTCTGCAATCTCTACAATCTATTTCACACTTTTGTGGTTTCTAGCTTACTTTGAAGCTTTGGAAGTTTTCTCCATGAATGAGGGTCAAAGTCAGTGCTCCCCTGGGGGTCAGGACACCCCAGAGCAGACAGAGAAATATTCCCGGTGCCCTGGGTTTCCACATCAGCAGGCGACAGTTACTGACAGTCGAAGGGTCAGCGGCAGGGTCCTCATCACACCCGTTCCTTAAACGTTATCTGGCCATGCAGACGGTCTTAGCTACTTCCACAAGTACTTTAAATCAACATTGGCTGTTTCACAAATATCTCTGAGTTATTATTGTCAGTTAGTTACAAAAAGAAAAGCATTAGTTATTATTTCACAACTACAGCTACTTCTGCAAAAGTTAACATTCTAATGCACAACACATGGCATCCACTTCAATATTTTGTAAAAGCCAAAACTATCATGTATGTTTTTCACACTGTGCACAAACTAAACTATCATCCATGAATGATGTTCTGAGGATATGAGCTACACAGGGGCCAGGGCATTGACCACAAAAAGCTGACAAATTATACTACAGCAAACGCATGTTAAAAGTGATTACAAGCTGTACTGTATCTAAATCGTTGCGATTAAGAATAAGTTGCAGAAGCCAAGACATCACAGCAAAAGCCACAACTACATAGTCCTTTATAACAAACCCAGGGCAGGTGTTTCCCTTGCAGGGAGCACTGGGGCCTTCCCCGGGCCCCTTCTGCCCTCTGGCAGAGCCGGGGGCATTTTCCAGCACACGCAGTTTGTACCCAAGAGTCGGTGCAGCCGAGAAGGCTCCGAGCGCCTCCTCCCAGGCTGACTCTGCAGATGCCCCGGCTGCTCTGGGCTCTGCCAGGGCTCTGCTGGGGCTCAGCTCTGGGCGAGGCTGGGCCCGCTCTCCCCTCACATTGCTCCGGGCAGCTGAGTCACAGAGGGAGGAGGAAGGGACACGCCAAGGGAGTTGTGGTTTAACAGAGTTTTTATTCAAAAAACTGCCATGCCAAACAGGCTGTCATAAGAACCGTAACAAACAGGGTGTCCTAACCAACATAACCAACTAGCACTGCTAACTACCATCACTAACTAGTTGTCCTCACTAACTACTGTAACTAACAGCTGTTTTCAAGTGCTTCATCTCCTCCGCTGCTCCCTCAGTTGCTTTGCTGCGGTGATCAGAGGGGTCAGGCTGGAGAGAAGCTTGGCTGATGATAAAAATGGGTGCTGCCCAAAGGATAAAAAAGAAAGAAATGAACCGTTACTTTCCAGAGTCAACTTCCTCACAGGCTCTGTTGCAACAGGACAAAGGGAAATGGTCAGAAACTCAGGAGAGGGAAGCAGGCTCAGGTTAGATCTAGGGCAGAATCCTTTTGCCAGGAGAGTGGGGAAACACTGACAGAAGGTGCCCAGAGATGTGGGACGTGCCTCCTCCCTGGGAACATCCAAGCTCAGGTCAGGCAGGGCTCTGAGCACCTGCCCTGCCTGAAGATGGCCCTGCTCCTTGTGGGGCACCAGGTGCAGATGCCCTCGAAAGGACCCTGCCAAGCCAAACCAGGCGAGGGTTCTGCTTGCTTTGCGTGTGGAACGCAGCGAGACTGGAGACTATCGGAGGGCCCCACCAGAAAACCCCTCCCTGGCGCTGCTGCTTCCCCTGCAGCCGCTCGGCATTCACCTGCAGCAGCTCCTGGGCAGAGCAGCGCCGCTCCTCGTCCGGCTCCAGGCTGCACTCGAGGCAGTCCCGCAGCAGAGCCGACAGGCGCCCGGGCTCCTGCAGCTGCGGGGGCCCGTTGTGCCGGATCAGAGCGCGAGCCTGCAGGAAAAGCAAACTCAGCGCTCTGCCAGCTTCCTTCCCACCCACAGGTGCTCACATCGACCCCGGGTTCTCAGCCCCAGCTCCAGGGGCACTTTCCTCCCTGGCACAGATGCTGCTCACAGCTCATTTTCCTGTGCCAACCAAAAAACCCAAACCCTGGTGCTGCCACAGCCATTGGAAAGAGCTGATGCACTTGCTTCACATTTTCAGGTCATCCTCACAGCCAGAAGAGCTGCAACAGCGTAAATCCCAAAGCCAATTGTTGCTGGAGACTGCAGAATATTTGTTTGTGTTGAGGCTCGAGTGCTCTGGGAATTCCCTTCCCCATGTGCAGAAACCTCCAGCTGCTGCTCCCAGTGCAGGGTCACCCTGTGCTCACAGGGCTCTGCAGCCCCTGGAGAATTTGCCTCTTACCATGGCCTCGTTTCCTTGAAGTAAGGAGCTTCTCCTCCCACCATCTCGTGTTGCCGTGCGTGGCCAGTCCGAGCGGGCGCCGGCGGACGCGCGGGAGGAGCGGGGAGGCGGCCGCTGCTTTCCCCCGGGCGCTGCGGGCTCAGTCTGAGCGCACGGACAGACGGATGGCGGACACGGGGCTGGGGGCGGACACGGGGCTGGGGGCGGACACGGGGCTGGGGGCGGACACGGGGCTGGGGGCGGCCACGGGGCTGGGGCGGACACGGGGCTGGGGGCACACACGGGGCACACATGGGGCACACACGGGGCACACACGGGGCACACACGGGGCACACACGGGGCTCGGGGCACACTCGGGGCTCGGGGCACACTCGGGTTTATTGTGGGTGCGGCTTCCCGAGGCCCCCGGGCACCGGCGGGGTACCTGATCTATCCCCCGAACTGGGCGAGGGGGAAACGGACCCGCGGCCGATGAGGACGGGGCGGGGGCAGGGAAACCCCCCGGGAAAGCAGGAGACCCCGGGAACGGGGCGGGCATGGGAAAGGCGGGGGCGGAGGGAGCGACCGCGTGGCGAGGGGGAGGGAGGCAGGGTCGCAGCACAAGGGGAACCGCGTGGGGAGCGGCAGCGGGAATGGGGGAAAGAAGAAAAATTACAACTCCCACATTCGTCTGTGTCGTGGGAGAGAGAGGGGCAAAAACAGGAGAAAGAAAAGGGAAAAAAGGAGATTCCCCCCCATTGTTCCTTCATCTCCCCACCTCCAATTCAATAGCAGGGAGTTATCAATAAACAATAGCAGTGAACTGTGAATAATCAATAGCAGGGAGTGATCAATAATCAGTATCAGTGAGTTATCAATAATCAATAGCAGTGAAATGTCAATAATCAATAGCAGGGAGTTATCAATAATCAGTATCAGCGAGTTATCAATGATCAATAGCAGTGAATTATCAATAATCACTAGCAGAGAGTTGTCAATAGTGAATAGCAGATTATCAATAATCAATAGCAGGGAGTTATCAATAATCAGTATCAGCGAGTTATCAATGATCAATAGCAGTGAATTATCAATAATCACTAGCAGAGAGTTGTCAATAGTGAATAGCAGATTATCAATAATCAATAGCAGGGAGTTATCAATAGTCAATAGCAGTGCATCATTCAATCTGCATTTTTCACAATATTACAAAGAAATCAATCCAATATTCATTATTGAATAATGATTACTAATTAATAACCATTACAAAGAAATTTATCCTATATCAATTAAGTATTGATAATTAATTAATCAATATTACAGAGAAATAAATCCAATAGTAATTATTAATTCTTTATTAATCCCAGCATTACCAAGAAATAGACGCATTATCTATTGATTATTAATTTATCAACACTAAAAAGTAATCGATCTATTATTAATTATTAAGGATAAATAAATCAATATTACAAAGACATCAAGCCAATATTAATTATTAATTATTGATTATTAATAACCAATATTAGAGAAAGTAATCCTATATTATTATTAGTTATTGATTATTAATCAATATTACAAGGAAATCAATCCTATATTATTAATTATTTATTATTAATACTACAAAGTAACCAATCCAATATTGTTAATCAAGGTTACAAATAAAATAATCCACTATAAATTATTAATTATTGATTATTAATCAATATCACAACGGAATCAACCTATGTTATCAAATATTATTAATTATTAATTACTCGATATTACAGAAACTTTTATCCACTCTTTATTATTATTTATTATTAATCAATACTACAGAGAAATAAATCCTATGTCAAGTATTTATCACTAATTAATCAATATCAAAATTATTCGTTCCAGAATTAGTTATTAATTATTGATTATTGATCAGTGTCACAGAGGAATTGATCCAATATTAGTTATTGATTACTGATCAGTATCACACCCTGTGGGTGAGCGGGGGAGGGGAGAGATTTCTGGCAGAAAACTCCAAAGACTCAGAGCAGGATGAGGAGAAGTCAGTGCAGAGCCTTAAATGCAGCTTTCCCCACGGCTCCCTGCTCCCAGCTGCACCTCCTCCCCCGGCAGGGCAGGAGACAGGGAATGGGGCCGTGCTCAGCTCATCCCCCGCGGCTTCTCCCTCTGCTCAGGGACAGGAGTCGTTCCCTGCTGCACCCTGCGCTCTCTCCCAGCCGAGACTTCTCCAGGAACTTCTCCGAGCCGAGTCCATCCCCTGGGGCACAGCCCCCTCCAAGTGCTGCAGCGTGGGTCACTGTGCCACGGGCTCGGTCCTGCCAGGCCAGGCTGCTCCAGCGGGGCCCCTCTGCCCACGGGGTCACAGCCTCCTCTCAGGCATCGCCGAGCTCCAGCCTGGCTCCTCCAGGGGCTGCAGGGGGATCTCTGCATCCCCATGGACCTGCAGGGGGATCTCTGCATCCCCACGGACCTGCAGGGGGATCTCTGCATCCCCACGGACCTGCAGGGGCATCTCTGCATCCCCACGGACCTGCAGGGGGATCTCTGCATCCCCACGGACCTGCAGGGGGATCTCTGCATCCCCACGGAGCTGCAGGGGGATCTCTGCATCCCCACGGACCTGCAGGGGGATCTCTGCATCCCCACGGACCTGCGGGGGGATCTCTGCATCCCCATTGTGAAAAACGGTAATCACTTGGTTAGTAACATTTTTATAGTTTATAATAATAAAATGGTTTTAAAAATAGTAACACAATTGGAGTAATAAAATTTACAGTTAGGACAATTACAAGACAATAAATAGCAATGAATTACTGACATCCAGATGCTCTCAGACAGTAAGTCATGAAAAGCATTCCTTGTGAACAAAGGAATACCCCTTAAAACAATGGCCTGCTGCATATTCATATATCTCATACATGATGCATAAATTCCTTGCAAATTAAGGACTGTGTGGTTTTTGTCAACTTCTTTCCTTTAATCCTGGTGGTTCCATAAATATGGAGAGAAGGTGGAAGAATGTTTTTGTTTTCCAATGAGGAGGCTGTAACTCTTTATGGGCCCTGTCACTGTTATCTCTGTGCTAAGAGTTGCTTGACTATCTCATCTCTTTCTTGAGCTAATCAAAAAGCATCTTACATAGCATAGTTTCTTTTCCAACAGTATGTTATAACCTAAAACTCTATTCAACCCACTACCTAAGAGAATTAATACAGCATAACTAACATTACTCATATAATATTCATTACAATATTCGCAAAAGCCAATCATAAAATATGCCTTTTTCAAAATGCCTGCTCCTCTTTTTTATAAATCATTTGGCTTGAGCAATATTTCTTATCCACTTGCATTCTTTCTATGTTGGTAATCAAATAAAAATGAGATTAATCAAGGAAGAAACATCAAAACAGTTATAACACATAGAGGAAGAATCCCCATTTCCCCATTTCTTCCACCATCCCATCCTCAATACATTACCCCACCTGTTAGTTTTTAACATTATTTTCCCTTTGTTTTTTTTTTTTTGGACTGATACCTGGGTCATAATGTTTTTCTGATATCCTTTGTTTTTTCCAGGATGACGCCCTCATTGCCATCTATTTTCAACAATCTGTACACCTCATTCTTTAGCCAATAAATAGTCTAAAGCCAACCTATTCTGATACACTGCAGTTTTTGTTTGGCTTTGCTGATTCGATATTAATTCCAGTGCCTGAGCAGCTTTGTTTGTTATCTCCTCTACAACTGCTTGGAGTCCTATAATACCATTCAGTATACAATTTGGGGTCAATACAGAGCTAGACTGCTGTGCTGGTTTCACCTTTTTGTTTACTAATTGCCTTTTTACCGAATCTTGGACTATATCTCTAAGATCAAATATAAAACAAATCCATCTCTCTCAGACCTTCAATTCCCTATCTATTACCACTACTAATCAAACTAACATAATACATATAGTAACTATCCGCAAAGAGCCATAAAATTAGTGTTTTTCACGTTTGGTATCTCCTGGAGTGTTCCCGGAAAGGGCCCATCTCTGCCTGGAGCCACATTTTTTCATTTGTAAATGAGGTCTTTCTTTCTCTGCCAGCTGTGGTTTCCCCAGCCCCGGCTGTGGCTTCTGGTCATTTAAAACTTTAAGAACCTTTTTGTAAAAGCACAACTGACTTGATGTATATTTTACATAAGCACAAATTTTTCCATAACATATATTACAATGGGGATGCAGAGATCCCCCTGCAGGTCCATGGGGCTGCAGAGATCCCCCTGCAGGTCCGTGGGGATGCAGAGATCCCCCTGCAGGTCCGTGGGGATGCAGAGATCCCCCTGCAGCCCCTGGAGGAGCCAGGCTGGAGCTCGGGGATGCCTGAGAGGAGGCTGTGACCCCGTGGGCAGAGGGGCCCCGCTGGAGCAGCCTGGCCTGGCAGGACCGAGCCCGTGGCACAGTGACCCACGCTGCAGCACTTGGAGGGGGCTGTGGCCCAGGGGATGGACTCGGCTCGGAGAAGTTCCTGGAGAAGTCTCGGCTGGGAGAGAGCGCAGGGTGCAGCAGGGAACGACTCCTGTCCCTGAGCAGAGGGAGAAGCCGCGGGGGATGAGCTGAGCACGGCCCCATTCCCTGTCTCCTGCCCTGCCGGGGGAGGAGGTGCAGCTGGGAGCAGGGAGCCGTGGGGAAAGCTGCATTTAAGGCTCTGCACTGACTTCTCCTCATCCTGCTCTGAGTCTTTGGAGTTTTCTGCCAGAAATCTCTCCCCTCCCCCGCTCGCCCACAGGGCTTTGGGCAGGTTTCCCTTTTTGGGGGAAATCAAAGCGAAGCACCGATGCACTAATGAGGGGCAGGAGAAGGGAGGCTCCCGGGCTTCCCGCAGAGCCGGAGGCACGGAAGGCGCAGGGCCGGGAAAGCCGTGGCGGGAGGTGCGGAGAAGTTTGTTTGTGTGGGCAGCTCAATCCCGCCTCGGGCCCGGGCCCGTCCCGGGGCTGTTGCTCATCTCCGGCTTTGCCCTCACGCAGCGCGGGGGGCCCTGAGAGCGCGGGGCGAGTCTGGGCCGTGCGCAGAGCCCGCCCCCAGCTCGCTGCCATTGGCCGCTGGTGCCGTCAGTCGCGGTTGCGGCGCGCTGATTGGTGGGAGCGGGGCGCAGCACGGCCCCGGCGGCGGGCTGAGGGCGGCCGTGGGCGGGCAGCGGCGCCATTGGCGCCGGGAGCGTCTGTGCGGGCCCGGGAGCGGCGGCAGCGGCCGGAGCGCGGTGAGGCGGCGTCGGCGGAGCTCGGAGGCGGCCCCGGCGCAGGTGGGAGCCGCGCTGGGTTCTGCGGGGGCTCGGGGCTGGCTGCGGGCGGAGGGGGCGGCAGGGGGCTGCGGCGGGTCGGTGGTGCCGTGTCCGGCCCGTGCCGGCCCCGGGCTGAGGGCGCGGCGGGAGCGGCTGCCCGCGGTCTCCTTCCCGCCGGGGCCTGGGCAGGAGCCGCTGCCGGAGCAGCGCTGGCTCGGCCCGGCTGCTGTGGGTAGGACCGAGGGGGCTGCCCCGCGGCCGGGAGCGTGCGGGGAAATTCCCGTCGCCGGAGGTTTCTGTGGCCGGAGGAGAGCGAGGAGTCCTGTAAAAGTGACTTTATTGCCGAGCAGGGGGAGAGGCCGTGGGGCATTTGCCGTGCGCTCTCTGCCATGGTTGTAGTCCGCAGCCTCCTTTTTATCCTCATTTTCCCGGCCGCATCTCCCTCTGCCTTTGCCCACGGGCTGAGGTCCTTGGAAGGTTCAGACTTCCCGATGCGCCTGCTGCCTGTCCTCGTTAATATGCACCCTCCTTTTGTATAACAGCCGATATTCATGGCTCTGTTAAGTCTTTGTTCTTCTCGAAGTTTGGGAATGTAGCGGGACTTTGAGCAGCTGTCTGGGTCAATTTGTGACATTTATTGGAACTGAGGGTTTCTCCCGTAGCTTCCTTATCTACAAGTGCCTGGCCCTATCTCCAGGCAGATTCACTCCTTGACTCTGTTTTGTTCTTCCCGGGTCCTCTTTGGTTTTGGGATTATTCTCGGCGCCCTCATTCCCTGTCCTTTTGTAGCCCCTTGTGGATCAGGAGGCCTGGCTGCCACCTGCATCCCCTGGCTCAGCTGCTGGATGAGCTGCACTGCCAAGGTGTGGAGCATGGTAAAAAGATGAGAGTTGCTGCAGCACAGAAGAGGAGAAGCAGCATTCGCTTAACCCCTGGTGTGCCGGGGAGCCAGGAAAGCATGTCCCATTCCTATCCTTTCCGTGTTAGGACCAATACATAAACTGCTCTCCTATTTCCTTTGTTATCTTTTTCACCACTTTTCCTTGGTCATCTCTTTGCCAACAGCAGTTTGACCCATTTTGTTTTCCACAAACTCCTGTTTTTTCTGCTCACAGATAATCTGATCCCATTCCCTGGTGAAATGTTGTGTTCCTCATTTCAGTGGATTGGTCAGCAGGAAGGTCAGGAGCTGGAGCTGTCTGGTTGGTTCTTATTCCAAGGACAGCTTGTGATCTAATGATGCCTTAGAAATGATAAATGGGTTCTGTCTCCTGATATGAATTGGTTCGAGTTCCCAGGGGCTGGTCCATGGTGTTGTAGGATTTTTTCTGGTGGCCCTTCATCTTTATCCCATTTTTGGGTGCTCTCTCCAGCAGGGGCCAGATCAACTGACTGCTTTTTTCTAATTTCATCATTAAATACTTGAATTCCAACTGATTTCCCTGAACTTGTTCTAGCAAAAGCCCCAGTGCTCTGATACACCCTGTACAGCACAGACAGTGACAGCAGATGTTGGAGTGGGCAGAGGGATGATCCCCCCCTTATTTTAGTGAAGTCTTCACGACATTCTCCATTTGCTGTTTCCCTTTGCAGCTTCAGCCATTTCTGTTTTCGAGTCAGAGATCCTCACCATGGGCTCTGCCTTCAGCTGTGCAGATTCCATCTGTGCAAGCAGGCAGAGCTTGGGGTGAGGGGCAGAGGGAATCAGCCAATTCCTGCCCCAGGCAAGAAGAGCCAGGTACATTGTCCCCACACTGCCCCAGCAGTGCTGATTTGCATTTCTAAAGCTCCTCCTGGGTGCCTGGAATGCAGCTTCTCTTCCAGAGCAGCTTCAGCAGCCTCACCTGTGCCCCCCCACAACCTGGGGCTATTTTTTTTCCCCCCTTCAAATCCTCTGTTTAATGTTTATGAGTTAAAAGGGCACCTTTAAATCTCTTCTAGTTTTGCAAAATGCAGCCTAAATGTGAATGTCAAAAAACCCTGACCAAGATTTTGGCATCGCTAAAAGTGAAACAAAAACACACAAAAATGTTCCAAGGCAATTAATTTTTTTCTCGTTCTTCTCGGAGTAAAAACTCATTCTCACATCCCTGACCAAACCTAACCAGCAATATATAAGTAGGATTATTTAAAAAAATATTCTAATGCTATATACTTTGCACTGAAGCTGCAGGAAAATGAAAAACTACACCAATATGTTTAGTGTTAGAGTCAAGGCATGTCTTGATTCTGGCCAGGAGGAGCAACAGAAATCATTCTATCCCCACATAGCCCGGGTGTGCAGAGAAAATCGTTCCATGACACATGGATTTTACTCGATTTTTCCCAAACTTGATACAGTCAGAACCAGTCAAAATCCACTGGTTTAATGTTTTATTGTTACAAGTTGTGCAGTTTTTAGTGTTTGGTTTCCTATTAGCCCCGGATTTCTTTGCTTCTGCTGTTAATGAGGTGGGAAGTGCTGATTTCCTTCTCAGCCTTTTGCAGACCAGGTGTCTGCAGCCCTGGCAGTGTCTGGGGTAGGTGTTGGTTGCTGTTTGCTGCTGGGGTTGATGTTTTGCTGCTGGGCATTATCTTTGTGGGTATCTTTTGGGCCATTCCCAGTGTGTTGAGATGTTAAACTCATCTCCACTGAGTGGTGTAACATCCCTTAACAAAACCTTTAACATTTCTTTCCCCAGGGCCAAGGCAAAGCAAGCCTGAGTAGAGAAATCAAAGGTTAACAATGTTAAAGTCTATGAGCTGGTGTATTTTCCATCAATGCCATGGCAGGCAGGGCAGTGTGTGAGTGTAAGTGAGAGCCAGAGTGGAACTGTCCCGTTGTCTCCCCAGCAGCTGTGGCAGGGCAGCCCAGAGAGCGCTGAAGCTGCAGCAGTGGCAGCAAGGAGAAGCAGGCTTGAGGAACAGAATGGTCAAACGATGCAGGTGGCAGGAGAAGATTGGATTGTGCAGGAGAAGGAGGAATAGCAGGAGGAAGAGGAGTGTGAGGAAGGGTAGAGACACAGGAGGAGTAGGAGGAGGAGCAGAAAGAGGAAGCAGCACAAGGTTCCACCCCTCCCTGTATCTGCAGCCTCCCCCCAGCCCCAGGAGCGTTTCTCCCCCACATGCAGCAGGTGACTGGAGGGGGATCCACGATTTTCACGGGGTGAATCTTGGTGTTTCTGAGCTTTCTTGGGCTAAATGTTAGTGCTTTGATTTCATGTGGCAGCTGAATCTTTATGTTTTGGAGGAGGTTTTTGCTGTCTTGTGATGTTTGGGGAGTTTTTGATCTGTGTCTTGAAGTTTGTGGGATTTTTGGGCTGAATCTTGGTGTTTTGGAGGTTCTTACAGACACAAGATTCCCAATGACTTCCTGGGATGAACTGGGGCAAGGAGGAACCTCCAGTCCAAGGTGCTCTCCTCTTGTTTTTTTCCCCAAACCAGGATTTTTCATTCCCTAGGCGTGGCTGGATGGAGGAGGAGGAAAAGCCCCGGAGATGCTGCAGGAGGAGGAGCTGCAAACCCAGCCCAGGGAGCTGCGGGGAGGAAAGAGCCCCCCTGAGCCAGGAAGGCGGGCGGAGATCCAGCCGGAGCTCGGAGCTGGTGGAGAAGCCTCATGGCAGGGAGAAGCCCCACAAGTGCTTGGAATGTGGGAAGGGTTTCAGCTGGAGATCCAGCCTGATCCAGCACCAGAGGATCCACACTGGGGAGAGGCCCTACGAGTGTGGGGAGTGTGGGAAGAGGTTTCGGACCAGCTCCCATCTCCTCAGACATGAGCGGAGTCACACAGAGGAGAGGCCCTTCCGCTGCCCCGACTGCGGTGAGGACTTCAAGTACAACTCCAGCCTCACCAAGCACCGGCACATCCACACCGAGGAGAGGCCCTATGAGTGTGGGAAGTGTGGGAAGGGTTTCAGACACAGGTCTGGGCTGATTGAGCACCAGGTAATCCACACTGGGGAAGGGCCCTATGAGTGCTTGGAATGTGGGAAGAGCTTTGGGCGGAGCTCTACCCTGAGAATACACCAGCGCATCCACACAGGGGAGAGGCCCTACGAGTGTCCCCAGTGTGGGAAGAGGTTTCAGACCAGCTCCAATCTCCTCCTACATGAGCGGATTCACACAGAGGAGAGGCCCTTCCGCTGCCCCGACTGCGGGAAGGGCTTCAAGCACAACTCCCACCTCACAAGGCACCGGCGCATCCACACCGGGGAGAGGCCCTACGAGTGTGGGAAGTGTGGGAAGAGGTTTCAGACCAGCTCCCATCTCCTCGTACATGAGCGGATTCACACAGAGGAGAGGCCCTTCCACTGCCCCGACTGCGGGAAGGGCTTCAAGCACAACTCCAACCTCACCAAGCACCGGCGCATCCACACCGGGGAGATGCCCTACGAGTGTGGGGAGTGTGGGAAGAGCTTCTCACAGAGCTCAAGCTTGACCCAACACCAACGGAGGCACCACTAAGGGAAGCCCTGTGCGTGCCCCGAGCGAGGGAAGAGCTTGGAGTGAGGGAAGCGAGTGAGGGAAGAGCTTGGAGTGAGGGAAGAGAGTGAGGGAAGAGCTTGGAGTGAGGGAAGAGAGTGAGGGAAGAGTTTGGAGTGATGGAAGAGAGTGAGGGAAGAGCTTGGAGTGAGGGAAGAGAGTGAGGGAAGAGCTTGGTGCGCTGCTGCAGCTCCATTCCCCATGGGAGGATCCGGGCTGGATGATCCCCAGTGACCCCCGTTGGGCAGAGCCCTGGTGCCCCCGTATGGGGAATAAAACAGAGAGTAAAGCAATGGAGCTGATAAAGGGGCCCGATATCTGAGGCCTGACTGAGCAGAAACTGTTGGAGACACAGACACGGTTTAAGTCTCCCTGGGCAAGAAGAGGGGACAGTGGGGGGTGGCAGGGGTGTGACAGAGGGGATCAGGGGATGACAAAGGGACATAGGGGATAGCAGAGCCCTCCAGGGAGGGGACAAAGGGGACCCTGGGAGGACACTGGGGCTGCCACAGGAGGCCACAAGTGCCACCAGGTCCCTGACACCTCCCCTGTCCCCTCCCCAGGTGTCCCTGTACCAGCTGGAGTCACTGGTGAATGTGGTGGCCACCCTGGGTGAGGTGGCAGCCACCGTGACCGGGTTACAGAGGGACGAGCAGCAGCTCATGTCCCCAGAGTCCTGCACGCGAACCTGAGGAACTTCACCTGGAGTCTCCGTGAGACCCTGGAGCAGGGCGATGTCACCTCCCTGGGCCACCGTGGTGTCCCCTCCCTGGGCCAGGCCCTGGCCGCGCTTGGGGCCACCCCAGGGGCCACCTGAGCCGATGTGAGAGCTGCGGCCTGGCCTGGCAGGAGTTGGTGGTCAGGCTCGAGGACAGCTGGGCCCTGCTGGCCTGGGATGCCACCGAGCTCCGCGACGCCTGCTGGGACGCGGCCATCGCTGCCATCCGGGCCGGGGACCTGCAGGACGTGGCCACCCGCAGGAGGACAGCTGGGAGCAGCCTGGGGCCACAGCCCAGCGGCTGAAGGTGGCCCTGGGCAGGGAAAAGAGGGCCTCGGCAGGGGCCACGCACAAGGCCCAGGTGGCTGCGGCCACCAGCGAGGCCGTGGGAGAGGCCGTGGTGGCCAGCAGCCAAGCCATGGTGGCCACCAGAAGGGGACATTGGGCACAGGCGGCCCTGGGGCCGCTGGAGCGCTTGGTGGAAGAGTGTGAAGGAGGCAGGCGGTTCCCCGAGGAGCTGCAGCGCCGGCTCGGGGACATCGAGGCCATCCTGGAGGGGACAAAGAAGGCGTCCCCCGATGTCCCTGAGGCCTTGGTGGCCGAAGTGGCCGAGTTTGGGCAGCTGTGGGATGCCAGTGCCTGCCTGGGCAAGGATCACCTGCTGAGGACACTTGGGGACATCCACGACCTCCTCTCGAGTCCCTGTGGTGGCTCCGGCGGCCCCGGTGGCCCCAGCAGGCGCGCACTGGCCCAGCGGTGCCAAAAAGCCATGGAGGATATCCCCAGGCTGCTGCAGCGATGGCACCGCTCTGATGCCATCAGGGACAGTGACATCATGGTGGACAGCGCTGGCGTCACCATCCCCTCCTCGCGCGGGATTTGAGACCAATTCGGGGAATTTTCTGGGAATTTTCATCGGCTTTGTCCCACATGCTGATGGGAGTTTCTGGGATGACGTTACTAGCCGCACCTGGGGACATTCTGAGAGCACTCAGAAGGCTTTTGCATTCCCCTGCTGCCTTTTGCATTTTTCTGCTTTTTCTATTGGGTTTGGCATTTCTCTATTGCCTTTTGCAGGTTCCTATTGACCCCCAGCATTTTGCTCAGGTGCTGATACTGATATTGATTATCGATAATCCCTTGCAGCTGCTCGCTGGCACAATGAAATCTCAGAGTTTGCATGGACAAGTCCAAGGCAGTGTGAGCTTTCTGCCAGGATCTGGGAATCCTTTACGGATCCAATTCTCACATCCCTGGGCCCCCCCGGTCCCGGCGCTGTTCCCGGGGGTCCCGCGGCTCTGGGGGTCAAAGGGGAGGGGGCGGAACCCCCGTGATGGGTGGGGGGCACAAAGGGGGGTCCGGGCCCGGTGCTCGGGGGGGTCGGTGCAGGGGGGGGTCGGGGGCACTGAAGGGGTGTGGGTGCGGTTTTTGGGGGGTCCCGGTGCTCGGTGAGGGGGGGTCAGTGCTCAGCAGCGGGGGCTGTCCAGGGACCCCCCGGCCCCCCCAAATCCCAGCCGGGTGTGAAAAACAAAGTTCACTAAGGGATTACTAAACAAAGTTTAATCCGGGATAAAAAAGGGTTTTGGGCTCGGCCAAAGAACTCGCCCTCAACTTAACCCTTCGTTCTCCGGATCCGGTTCCACTGCAGGGCCACGAACACACTCCTGAGTTTCGACATTATTCAAACACTCCCGGGAGGTTTGGATGTCCCAGGAACTCGTGTTTGGGTCTCACCTCTGACTTGTCTGCAGGACATTCTGTAGATTAAGTCGATATATTTGATTTCTTCTCATGGTTCCACCCTGTTGTTTCAGACCCCCTGATAAATTCATAAATTCTTCTGAGCTTTGTGTCACTGGTATCAGCTGGTGAGGCTGGTCCGCAGATGTGAAAAACAACGGAATTGTTTTACACCTGAGTCAGTCACACAAAAGCATTTTAACATTGCATAGTCTCTATTTCAGTATTTATTACTGATCTGTTTTTTATTTATCTGTTTTTAATATATTAAGGCCTATGATATAATATCTATTTATTACTCTAGCAGTAAATTTGTTATACGGTGCACACATAAACGGATTGATTTTATTGTACCAGCGAGCAGCTGCAAGGAATTATCAGTAATCAATATCAATATCAAGTACCACAGCAAAATCCTTGTGATCAATAACAACGTGCAGAAGGCAATTCAGAATTTCAAAAGCCGATTATTCTATTGTCATTTATAACCCGGCTCTGCTGCAAGGCACCGAGGGGGCTCATTCAGCCCCTGCCCCACCGCCACCCCCATCAGTGTCCCCAGAGCGTCCTCAGAATGTCCCCAAGTGTCCCCAGTGACGTCACCCCAGAATTCCCATCAGCATTTGGGACAATTGCAATGAAAATTCCCAGAAAATTCCCCGAATTCGTCTCAAATCCCGCGTGGGGAGGGGAGAGGGGAGAAGTGACAGCAGCGATGTCCCTGATGATGTCACCGTCCCCGATGATGTCACAGCGGTGACATCGCTGTCCCTGCAGCAGCCTCGGGATGTCCTCATGGAAAAATGCAGATTTTATGGTTGGCTTTTTGCAAGTATTAAATTGAATAGGGTTTGTATTGTTACATTGATTAGTAGTGCTGTATTAACATTTTATTGGTATGGTAAATGTAGATTTGTGGTTAAAACTGAGCTTTTGTGGTTAAAATAGAAACTGTGAGTGGGAAGAAAGGAATGAGGTACTTGCACCGGGACGGCAGCCGCAGGACACCGAAATCTTCCAGAGAAAAAGAATTTACGGCTTATTGTAAATGCAGGCGAGCCAGGGGGAAGAAATGACGATGCCTGACTCCAGCTCAGAAGGATGAATGGTTTCTTTATTACAACTATACTAATATACATTAATATACTGTTTAAAGGAGACACTAAAACTACAAACCCGCTTTTTCTATTAATATACTGTTTAAAGGAGACACTAAAACTACAAACCTGCTTTTTCTAACTCCCAAATCTGACTCCTCACAACTCGTGACCCTCTCTGAGATTCCAGCCCCAGGTGGGTTGGATTGGCCCCCAGGCTCAAAGGATCCTCACCAGAACCAACCCAGCAACCACCCCACAACAATTTGGGTAAGAAATTGTTAAACAATTCTCCAAACACATTCCACATACTAAAACAAGGAGCAGAAACAGAAATTGTTTTCTCTTTCGTTTCCTCTGTGCTCCTCTGTGAGAAATGCTGAGAGGCAGAGCAATGTGCTGCCACAAGGGCTCCCTAATTAAAGGCAATTAACTCTTCCTGCCTCGCTCAGCCCCGAAGGCGCCGCAGGATTGAGCAGAGGCTGCCACTGCTCAGGGTTCTTTGATGGGACAGGATTTATGCATCACGCATGAGATCTATGAATATGCACCAGGCTGCTGCTTTTAGGGTTAGTCCTTGTTCAAGGCGTGGTTTTGGCAGCTCAGTGCCCAAACCCATCCGGACGTCCGTAATCCCTCGCTGTTTTCTTGTCCTGTCACTGTCCTGAGCCGCATTGGCCACATTGTTCTTGCTCTGATTTTATCGCTGGTTTTTAATAACTGTTTTATTACTAATAAACTTGTACAATTTTAAAAACTAACTGACTGGCATTTGCCACAGGGCCCAAAAACATCCCGATGTCCGAAATTCTTCGCTTTTTATTGTCTTGTCATCATCGTGACCCTCATTGTCCAGATTCTTATTGCTCCAATTTCAGTGCTATTTTTATAACTATTTTATTACTAATTAACTTTTGAATCAGTAATTTTTTAACATTTTAAAAAGCAGCATGTGGCGTTTTTCACAATTCCCAAGAACTCCTCGCTGTCCAAAATTCTTCATTTTTTTATCATCTCATGGTGTCCTCATCCTCATTGTCCGCATTTTTATCACTCTGATTTTTTTTGTTATTATTAATTTTATTTTTAACCACTATTTTATTAGTAATAAACTTTTAAAATTTAAAAAACAACTGATTGTTATTTTCCTCAGTGCCCAAAAACTCCTGGATGTCCGAAATTCTTTATTTTTTATCATCTCGTGGTACCTGACCCTCGCTGTCCACATTTTTATTACTCTGACTTTATTTTTAAATTTTATTTTACTATTATTTTAATATTTTTCTTCTTATTTTATTTTTATTTTTAATATTTTTTATATTTTTCAATTACTACTTTATTACTAATAAACTTTTAAAATTTCAGAAACAACTGATCGGTGTTTTCACAGTGCTGAAAAACTCTTGGATGTGCAAAATTCTTCATTTTTTATCATCCACATTTTTATTACTCCTATTTTATTGCTATTTTTAGAACTATTCTATTACTAATTAACTTGTTTGAATCAGTAATTTGTAAAAGATTTTAAAGAACCAGAACTGGCATTTTTCACGGTGCCCAAAAACATCTGGGCATCCAAAATTATTTTCTTTTTATCGCCTAGTGGTGTCCTAAATGTCATTGTCCAGATTTTTATTACTCTGATTTTATTTTTTATTATTTTTATTATTTTAAGTTTTATTTTTCTATTTTTATAACTATTTTATTACTAATAAACTTTTAAAATTTCAAGAACAACTGATTGGTGTTTTCACAGTGCCCAAAACTCCCGGATGTCCAAAATTCTTCATTTTTTATCATCTCGTGGTGTCCTGACCCTCATTGTCCATGTTTTTATTGCTCCGATTTTATTGCTATTATAATTATTATTTCATTACTAATTAACTTGTGTAATTAGTAATTTATTACTAATTAACTTGTGTAATTAGTGATTAGTTTGTGATTTTACAGACCCGCGATTGGCGCGTTCAGAGCTCGTGGCGAGCGGGAAACGTTACAGGGAACGCGCTTTGGATCGATTCCTGTGTGATACTGATCAATAATCAATAATCAATTACTAATGCTGGACCGATTCCTGTGTGATATTGATCAATAATCAATAATCAGTAACTAATACTGGAATGAATAATTTGTGATATTGATTAATTAATGATAAATCATTGACATAGGATTGATATCTCTCTAGTATTGATTAAGTAATAATAAATAATAATAAAGGGTGGATAAAAGTTTCTGTAATATCGAGTAATTAATAATTAATAATATTTGATAACATAGATTGATTCCTTTGTGATATTGATTAATAATCAATAATTAACACATATTATTGGATTATTTTATTTGTAACCTTGATTAACAATATTGGATTGGTTACTTTGTAGTATTCATAATAAATAATTAATAATATAGGATTGATTTCTTTGTAATATTGATTAATAATCAATAACTAATAATATAGGATTAGTTTATCTCTAATATGTATTATTAATA